GACTTTCCTAAAATCCGTGCAAAAACGAAGAGTGCCATCTGATTTGGGAGCAAGGAGGCATGGAGAACTCCAGGGGCTATGGCTAGGTTTAGCAAGGCCATTGGTCACCAGGTAGCTAACTTCCTTCTTCATGGCCTCCCGCTTGGTCATAGGGCAGCGATAGGTATGCTGCTTGATGGGGAATGCAGAGCCTACATCTATGTCATGCTCCAACAGAGAGGTACGAGACGGTGTGTCACCAAACAACGACGGGTAGGCCCGTAAAAGAGCCAGAATGTCCTTGTACTGATCCTTACTGAGATAAGCCAGATTGGCGCCTAAACTGGACATATACTCAGAGTTTGATAACCTTCCACTCTGTTGTGCAACACACGGCTCTCCTAAATCCTCAAGACTCTCCGAACACACGGCTGACACAGAGGGCACAGCTAGCATGGACTGTGCTGGCCTGTGCTCCCCCCTTACGAGGAGAGGCTTCAGCATGTTGACATGACAAAGTCTAGTCTTCCTTCTCCGCTCCGGGGTAGCGATAAGGTAGTTTGTGTCGGACACTTTCCTCTCAACAACATAGGGACCAGAGAAACGGGCCGAAAGGGCAGAACCAAGGGTTGGGAGTAACACCAGGACTTTATCCCCAGGACTGAAGTGCCGAATCACTGCCTTTCTGTCGAATCGCCTTTTCATTCCAGCCTGGGAAGAGACGAGCGCTTCCCTAGCCAACGCGGTAGCCCGCTGTAACCGCTGCTTACAGTCTGACACAAAATCCAATGCACTCCTAACCGACTTCGGCATGGTTAATAACTGTTCCTTAAGCAGTTTAAGTGGCCCACGCATGCCGTGACCAAAAACAAGTTCGGCGGGGCTGAACCCAAGGGATTCTTGGGTAGCATCCCTAACAGCAAATGACATGAAAGGAACACCCTCATCCCAGTCCTTCCCTGTCTCAAAACAGAACTTGCTCAGCACAGATTTCAGCGTCTGGTGCCACCGTTCCAACGCACCCTGAGACTCTGGGTGATAAGCGCTGGCCACAGAATGAGCAACCCCGAACGACTGCAGGGTCTCCTTGAAGACTTTAGACAGGAAGTTAGTTCCCTGGTCAGTCTGTACAACCCTAGGCAGACCAAAGGTACTAAAAAACTTTGTAACGGCTTTAACAATAGAAGGGGCCGTGATTCTGCGCAGAGGGATCGCCTCAGGGATACGAGTGGCAACACACATAATGGTTAACAAGAACTGATTACCCATCTTGGTTTTTGGTAAAGGGCCAACACAGTCCATAATCACATGCTCAAAGGGTTCCCCAAGGGCAGGCACAGGGCGCAGGGGAGCCGGCGGTACCACCTGATTTGGTTTCCCAACGGACTGGCAGGTAATGCAGGTCTTACAGAAAGCAACCACATCAGCCTTCAGACCTGGCCAAAAGAAATGTTGGAGAACGCGGTCATAAGTCTTGGTAACACCAAGATGGCCGGACCACAGGTGTTCATGCGCCAGAGACAATACATGATGCCTGTAATTTTCGGGAACGACTATTTGGAAAATAGTACACCAGTCATTAGTGTCAGCGTTACCGTCCCGAGGGACCCACTTGCGCATCAATACACCCTCATCAAGAAAAAACCGAGTCTGGTCAGCTGGGCTGTCTAAAACAGAAAAACATTTGGTCAAAGTCTTATCACACTTTTGAGCTCCAATCAAAGCGTCACTGGTGAGTGGAGGGGACATAGCGGTGGTTGACTTCACACTGCTGGCCTTCGTCCTGGCGTGGTCATCAGGTCGTCCACACGGGGGCGCACGAACACCGGAGAAGACAGGAGCAAGCACAGAATCATACAGATCAACATCACCCTGTTCCTCTGCCAACTTTTTAGACTGGGCGCGGGTCAACACACACACTGAAAACATCTCGGGGTGTTCCTCAGCCAATTCATCCTTCCCAGTGCTGAGAATGGGGCGAGAAACCACTTTCGGGGAGGGATACACTTCCCCACCTGCGATATCATTCCCCATAATAAACTCCACCCCGTCAATAGGAAACTGGTCGCGCACAGCGACAGGGAAAACTCCACTAACCAAGTTTGACTCAATGTAGACATTATGCAGTGGTGCGGGCACATAACTAAGGCCGATCCCCTTCACTATTGTGCTTAGATGACAGTCTGCGGGCCCAGAGGCAGGACACCCGAGAGAATAAACGACTGGGAGCCACCCGTGTCACGCAAAACTTTAACAGAATGCTTAACCTCTCCTGGGACGGAAACAAACGCCTCAAAAATGAAGGGCTTAAAACAGTCATCACACTCTGAAATGGGAGAACAAACAGGCCTCACATTAGTAAGAATAGCAGCTGGGATCGTCTTGATAAGCGCTTCACTTTTCGGTTTAGATGTGGGCTGCTGTTTGCGCTTTAAAGCGTCACAATCCGCGACGATATGACCACTTTTATGACAAAAGAAACACTGCTTTGTCCGCTCAGGCCTTGAAGTAGTCGCAGGACTAACGGGGATCCTCTCCTCAGACTTGGGAAAAGGTTCACGCTTAAAAACAGCCTTGTGGGTGAGAGAGAACTCATCAGCTAAAACAGCCGCCTGCTGGAGCGTGGCCACTTTTTGTTCATTTAAATACACAATAAGGCGCTCAGAAAGACAGTTCTTAAATTCTTCAATAAGAAATAGTTCCCGCAGCGCCTCAAAAGTACCCGCTTTACTTGCACCACCTGTCAAACAGCAGCCCCTTCTCACGGGCAAAATCCACAAAACTCTGGTTATATGATTTTCGAAGCCCTCTAAAACGCTGCCTATAGGCCTCGGGCACCAGCTCATACGCACGCAAAATAGCACTTTTCAGACAGTCATAGTTCAAACTGTCCGATACTGACAAAGACGCGCATGCTTCGGAGGCCTTGCCACTCAATTTACACTGTAATAAAATTGCCCCTACATCTCTAGGCCAGTGTAAGGCGCTCGCAATACGCTCAAAAGCACCGAAATATGACTCAACTTCGGACTCGCGGAAAACCGGGACAAGTTGAATGTTCTTTGTCACGTCAAATGAATCACACGCACTGGCCGTAACAGGCGAAAATGGAGCTGAACCGCGACCCGATGCCTGCAGCTCCACTTGCCTCATACGAAACGCAGTGTCAGCTTCTAACCTTCTAAACTCAACCTCGCGAGCAGTGGCTGCCTCCAGCTCAATGCGCTTTAACTCGAGCTCACGCTTGAGCTGGAAGTCACGCTCTCTCTCCTCTTTCTCGTTTTTGAGCCGCGCAAGGCGCACATCCAAGCGCACATCACGAGGAGAATGCACACTCAAAGACAAGACACGAACCTTTTCCTCAGCCTCCCCAAACAAAACCTTTGGAGAGCCCACCGGTGGCTGTGGGGAATCCGCGCTCTCCCCAAGACGCACGGGGGACGTCACTGCGCCTCCCGCGGTCACTCCTTGTTCCAGATCGCTCGACTCGGGCAAAACCAAAGCTTCACTGGCAACCAAACCTGCCAACACAGCCTCCCTTAACTCTCCCACGCGCAATGTAACAGACACAGGGATTTCATAGTGCCGGGCAATCTCAAATAAGTCAACTTTTCTACACAAGTCCAACACATCACTAGTTGGCTCAGCCACGAAAGCACCCAAGTCAAACGTAGCCATATCACTCACCAAAATCACCAATCCAGGCCACAGCCGATCCCACTCACGGCCAGGCTACACCTGCTGACACTTTGCCAATCCACACTCCACCAGGAATGTGCCGTGCGCGCGCTTCTGACACAGCCGCGCGCAACCCACACACACTAACCACACACACGCCAGGGACAAAAAGACGAGCTCACGCAGGGCGCACTGATCACATAGAAACCCAAACCAGTTTAAACAAATGGTACCCAGACTCCTAACCAGGAAACTCTACGCCTAACTGTCTTCTGGGGTTTGCCGAGCTCGAGGCGTGCAGCCCCCGCCAGAGAATTCACTCCGCCCGGGATTCGCCCCGAAAATAACAAACTAAAACAAAAAACGGATGCCCGAAGGAATGACGAGTAAATCGGCCAAGCTGGACACCCCCCTAGTCTAGCTGGGTCACCAATGTATAGTGGCTGAGCAAGCGCCCATACATAGCTCAACTCACCCAGAGCGCGCGCACCCACGAACACTCACAGACTTCTGGTACAACGTCAGGATCCCAGACGAGCCCCCAACTATTACGTGCCAGAATATCCAGGGTAGCACATAACGTATATAGTGAATAACCGGGTGTGGGATGACAAAGGATGAAGTTGAGAGGTCGTAGATTAGGAGTAAAAAATAATAGGTTTATTACACAATTGTTTATAATAATAAACAATTAAACTACTAGCAGAAATGTGCAGAAACAAAGGTGCAGCGTAGGACGCAGACGTCAGCCCTCATCTGGGCCAGGGGCCTTTTAGGCCTGGGCTGATTGGCATCCAGCAGGTGCCGATCATCAGCCAATGGGTGGTGCGGAGGAGGCACAGAGCTGAAGGGGGTGGAGGCAAGGAAAAGTACAAACCACAAGGCCCATAACAGGCGCCAACACTGCCAATCCTCCCCCCGGCAGCAATGCAGATCGTACAGGAAGCTGTCATTCATGCAGCAACCCTCCTCCTCCCCAACTCCAGCTTGTTGGTCGTCCAGCTATTTCACCCTTCTCCAAGCCCGAACCACCAGGGTTTAGGCCCAAGGATTTCATTTTATAACCCCAAGTTCCATTTACCCTTCTGCCATCACCATGCCGTGCTCTGCCGGAGTCTATGCGCCAAATCTTAACTACATTTCTCATACAGTAAATACGAAATGTAGCCTCGCAAACATCATCTTCAAAGTCGTATAATTACCAACCAATATACAATTCCAATAAATACAGTTTTTTCTGTTTAAGTTTCTCCAGATTGAATTTTCTTTGACCCGGGCGTCTGTGTGTGTTGTGTGTGTGTGTGTGTGTGTGTGTGTGTGTTGTGTGTGCGTCTTGTGTTCAGCAACAGGAGCAGGACCCCACAAACCTCTATATCTCCAACCTGCCGCTGTCCATGGACGAGCAGGAGCTGGAGGCCATGCTGAAGCCCTTTGGTCAGGTCATCTCCACCAGGATCCTGAGGGACGCCAACGGGACCAGCCGCGGGGTGGGCTTCGCCAGGTCTGTGTCCTCCGGGTATAGGGTATCGGGCCAGAGAGACCAGAGGGAGACCAGAGGGAGACCAGAGGGAGACCAGAGGGAGACCAGGGAGATAAGGGATGAATACCAAAGATGAACCCCAGAGAGACCAGAGAGAGACCAGAAAGAAATGATAGAGACCAGAAAAAGACCAGAGAGATCAGAGAGAAATCAGAGAGAGACCAGGGAAAGACCAGGAAGATCAGAGAGAGACCAGGATGAGACCAGGATGAGACCAGGATGAGACCAGGATGAGACCAGGATGAGACCAGGATGAGACCAGGATGAGACCAGGATGAGACCAGAGAGAGACCAGGATGAGACCAGAGAGAGACCAGAGAGAGACCAGAGAGAGACCAGGAAGATCAGAGAGAAAAGACCAGAGACTTCACTCACTCGGTTACTCTGTCATTATGCAAAATATTGTAGAAATTTTCCAACAGAGAGACGACTAAGGGTTATTTTATCGTATCGTCCCTCGTGTGGCTAGAAAACAGTTTGGTCGTATTGTGTCTAAATTCTCTCTTCTGCTGGTCTGCGGATAAAGGACTAGCTCGCAAGACTGGTTAAATGCTGAGTTGTTTAGACACACCAGCCCGTGTCTCTCAGTCTGATGTCACTAATTTATTAGTTCATTATGCTTTCAGAATGGAGTCTACAGAGAAGTGTGAGGCCATAATCCAACATTTCAACGGCAAATTCATCAAGACCCCCCCAGGAGTGCCAGGTATGTGTGTGTGTGTGTGTGTTTGTACGCATATGTGTGTGTGTGAGTGAGTGTGCATGTGTGTGTACTCTTTTGTGGGTGGGTATGTGTGTGCGTGTCTGTGTGTGCGTGTGTGAGAGAGTGTAAGTGTCTGTCTGTTTATGTGTGTGTGTTTGTACATGCACGTGTGTATGTTTGTTTGTGTGTGTGTGTGTGTGTGTGTACTCTTTTGTGAGTATGTGTGTGCATGTCTATGTTTGTTTGTGTGTGTGCGTGCACTTGTTTTCAACTCCTGGTGGGTTCCATAACCTGAGATTCCACTCACGTCATGGGGACTGGTTTTACGTGGTGGGGCCCGAACACCGGACCCCACTGGTCCAAGCTTAATAATCAATGGGTAATGCTTTTCTAACGGTCCTTATGCAGTCTCTGTAAAAATATGGAAAGGACCCCTGGAGGTTTACTTTCCTGAAAAAAGTGTGTTATGTGTCGGAACCCTGGTGGTGGGTTGCGGGATATCAAGGAGGGGCACACTGGGGCAATTTCAGTCCAGCAGGCTGGAGCCAATCATGGAGCAGCACAACAGAGGAAATCAGGTGTCAGGCTAGAAAAAGGTGCAAGTGTGTGGTTCATTAGGCTGCAAGAAATCATGGAGGAGCACACTGAAGCGCACGCTTACAAACCACTGGTAAGTGCTGACTACAAGTCATGACTTCAAATTGTTATATAGAATGATTACAAATTATTTGTTGTTTGTGCAGCTTAGTCAAGAGTCCCTAATTGATGAAGTCGACTCAGATTCTGACGATTTAACTGTCAAGAAGAAACCTGTAAAAAAGTATGGAAAAAGAAAAATCAAAAACACTTTTCTTCAAGACTCGGAAAGTGACGAACCAAAGGCAAATAAGATTGTTATCATGCAGCTGCAAAAGAAGAAAAATGGGGGGCGAGTATACAGCAAGAGACACTTCTGCCTCTACTGTTCAATGTCCTGCCACAAAATGTCCCGTCATTTGACTAGAAAACATGGAAATGAAAGTGACGTAGCCAGAGCATTGGCTCTACCTGTGAAATCTAAAGCACGTAAACTTCAGTTTGATTTGATCAGGAATAGTGGAAACCGTGAGCACAATTTTGAGGTTTTAAAGGCCGGCATTGGAACTTTAGTCCCAGCTAAACAGCCAAATTGCCCAGTTAAATCCAGTGAGTTTTTGCACTGTATAGACTGTGGGGCATTGCTTTAAGCGAAAGTCGCTGTGGAGGCATGTGGCCAGGTGCCGGCTTTCACAGAAAGATGCCCAGGCTAAACCAGGTAGAAGTAGGGTCCAGTCCCTCTGCTCCCTAGCCCAGCCTGTACCGGAGGGCATCAGCAAAAAGCTGTGGTCTTTAATTTCGGCAATGCATCAGGATGAGGTCACGGGTGTTGTCAAAGCAGAAAAGGGGATTCTGAGACTCGGAGAGCACCTGTACTTAAAACACGGGCATGATAAGACTAAGCATGATTACATTAGGCAGAAAATGAGAGAAGTCGGTAGGTTAATTAACGAAGCAAAAACCGCAGGGAAACTGAAAACAATTAAGGATTTCTTTATTCCTTCCAACTTTAACCATGTGATTGATGCAGTCAGGTCTGTGGCTGGATATGATGAGGAAACAAATCAATACAAGACTCCATCCTTGGCCCTCAAACTCGGCCATAGCCTCAGAAAGCTAGCAGATATTCTTGAATGTGACTCAAAAATGGAGCATTGTGTTGATGAACTATTTATTAAAAACCTCCAACGAAGCCGGCTGCTTTTTGAGAAGAGGTGGGACGTCTGTGTTTCTTCTGCTGCCCTACAGACCCTCCGGCAAGCCAAGTGGAACACTCCGGACCTGCTCCCTCTGACTGAGGACGTTAGAGCCATGCATGCACATATTGAGGTATGTCGACCTGAATATGTGCAAACCCTAATAAGTGAGCCAACGTCTAAGCATTGGTCTAAACTGGCAGTTTTGACTCTTTGTGAGGTCATCATTTTCAATCGAAGAAGGGAAGGTGAGGTTTCAAAGATGCCACTGACAGCCTTTACCTTAAGAAGTAAGACTGGGATCCATTCTGACATTGCTCTGGGACTGTCCCAACTTGAGAAAAAGCTGTGTCAGCATTTTCAACGCATTGAAATTAAAGGGAAAAGAAGTCGGAAAGTGCCGGTTCTTTTGACTCCTGAAATGATTGCTTCGATGGAGGTGCTGGTGGAGAACAGAAGGGCCTGTTCCATCTCTGACCATAACCCATACTTCTTTTCCCGCCCGGGCGCAGACACCCACATCAGGGGATCAGACTCCCTACGCCAGGTAGCCAAAGAATGTGGTGCGGTGCATCCAGAGATGCTATCCTCAACCAAACTTAGAAAGCACATAGCTACTATGTCTACAGTTCTCAATATGAAAGAGAATGAGATGGACATACTTGCCAACTTCCTCGGCCATGACATTCGCATCCACAGGCAATATTACAGACTACCAGAGGGGACACTGGAGCTGGCCAAAATCAGCAAAGTGTTGATGGCCATGGAGCAGGGAAGAGTGACGGAATTCGAAGGAAAGAGCCTCGACCAGATACAAATTGAGCCTGAAGGTAATTCTTGATATTATTAAAATATGTATGATTTTTTTCCCCTAAAGGCCACTTGTATTTTTATTTTCTGTGCGACAGGGAGAGCAGTAGAGATCCTCTCACAAACGGACGGGCTAAAAGAAACTTCAAGCGGAGAACCTTCAACCATTCATCCAGATGCACCCCATGGTAGTGGCAGTGCCCCTTCTGGTAAGTGTACCAGGTGGGGGATTACAGCCAGGCTGCTTGGTCCTCACCCTGGGAGTGTATATTGCTAATATATTTTTATTTCTCTCCCTAGAACGTGTAAGAAAGCCATGGTCTGCATCTGAGGTGAAGGCTGTGGAGAAGACCATGACACCTTTCATACAGACTGGAAAGGTCCCTGGGAAGTCTCCTGCCTGGCCTGCATTAATGCCTCACCAGATGACCTTAGACATCGGACATGGAGTGGCATTAAATTCTATGTCAAAAATAGAATCACTGCAATTCGAAAACAAAATCTAAAATAAAATTCCTTTAAAATAGTTGTTTGGTTTCTATTGACTGTTTTGTATTACTTAAAGTCTTGGTAAAAAAAGATTATGTCTATGGGTCCCATTCTGAACGGCCCTGTCAAAGGGACCCACCAGGTAACAAAAACGTGTATGTGTGGGTGTGCAGAAAGTGTTTTGAGAAAAAAACCAAGTGTTTTGAGACACGAAAATCAGACCCTAAGTGTTTAGGCTGTAGGACCAGGCACACGTTGAAAATCAGACTAAGTGTTTTGAGAAAAAACCTAAGTGTTTAGCTGTAGGACCAGGCACACGTTGAAAAAACAGACTAAGTGTTTTGAAAAAAACCTAAGTGTCTAGACTGTAGGACCAGGCACACGTTGAAAATCAGACTAAGTGTTTTGAGAAAAAAACCTAAGTGTTTAGGCTTTGAGGAGCCCGGAAAGCGGGGCTTACTTCCCCCGGGAATGGGCGCCCAGGCCCGGATCTGAGCGGGAGCAAAGCCCGCCCCGGTGGTAGCCCAGGTCCGGAGGAGTGCGTGGGTGAAGACCCCGTGTCTCTAGCCCTCATGGTTCGTTTTCTACGAGCCATGTAAGCCGAGGTTCTCCTCCCCCAGAAGGAGCGCTCTTGGGCGGATGGCAGGCGCGCGGTCCCCCGGTGGTTTCCAAGGGCCATAACTTTCTGGTCCTTTGTCCCCCGCGCGCCAAATTCACACCGCGGGTACCCCTGGACCAGGGGAGTCCCTGGGTCCAGACCGCGACTCTCTGGGCCTCTGCGTTGATTTTTAACGAATTTCCGGAGGCTCTCCCTGTATTCCCAGGCACACACGCTTTTGGAGCTCAAGCCCCTTTTACGCAGGCCGTAACTTTTTTGTCTTTCATTTCCCATGAGTGAAATTCACGGAGGATGTAGCCCAGGTCCGGAGGAGTGCGTGGGTCCAAACCCCATGTCTCTAGCCCCCGTGGTTCGCCTTCTACGGGCCCGAGAAACCGCCACTTTCTTGACCGAGAATAGGCGCTCGTGAGCGGACACGGCCGCGCTGTTCCACCGGTGGTTTCCAAGGGCCATAACTTTCTGGTCCTTTGTCCCCCGCGCGTCAAATTCACACCGCGGGTACCCCTGGACCAGGGGAGTCCCTGGGTCCAGACCGCGAGTCTCTGGGCCTCTGCGTTGATTTTTAACCAATTTCTGGAGATTCTGTATTCCTAGGCACACAGGCTTTTGGAGGAAAAAATGACAAAGTGTCTAGCGAGCTCAAGTGCCTTTTGCGCAGGCCGTAACTTTTTTGTCTTTCATTTCCTATGAGTGAAATTCACGGAGGATGTAGCCCAGGTCCGGAGGAGTGCGTGGGTCCAAACCCCATGTCTCTAGCCCCCCTGGTTCGCCTTCTACGGGCCCGAGAAACCGCCACTTTCTTGACCGAGAATAGGCGCTCGTGAGCGGACACGGCCGCGCTGTCCACCGGTGGTTTCCAAGGGCCATAACTTTCTGGTCCTTTGTCCCCCGCGCGTCAAATTCACACCGCGGGTACCCCTGGACCAGGGGAGTCCCTGGGTCCAGACCGCGAGTCTCTGGGCCTCTGCGTTGATTTTTAACCAATTTCTGGAGATTCTGTATTCCTAGGCACACAGGCTTTTGGAGGAAAAAATGACAAAGTGTCTAGCGAGCTCAAGTGCCTTTTGCGCAGGCCGTAACTTTTTTGTCTTTCATTTCCTATGAGTGAAATTCACGGAGGATGTAGCCCAGGTCCGGAGGAGTGCGTGGGTCCAAGCCCCATGTCTATAGCCCCCCTGGTTCGCCTTCTACGGGCCCGTGAAACCGCCACTTTCTTGACCGAGAATAGGCGCTCGTGAGCGGACACGGCCGCGCTGTCCCCCGGTGGTTTCCAAGGGCCATAACTTTCTGGTCCTTTGTCCCCCGCGCGTCAAATTCACACCGCGGGTACCCCTGGACCAGGGGAGTCCCTGGGTCCAGACCGCGAGTCTCTGGGCCTGCGTTGATTTTTAACGAATTTCCGGAGGCTCTCCCTGTATTCCCAGGCACACACGCTTTTGGAGCTCAAGCCCCTTTTACGCAGGCCGTAACTTTTTTGTCTTTCCTTTCCCATGAGTGAAATTCATGTAGCCCAGGTCCGGAGGAGTGCGTGGGTCCAAGCCCCATGTCTTTAGCCCCCTGGTTGCCTTCTACGGGCCCGAGAAACCGCCACTTTCTTGACCGAGAATAGGCGCTCGTGAGCGGACACGGCCGCGCTGTCCCCCGCTGATTTCAGACCGACGTAACATTCCCGTCTCTTGTCCCCGTGCGTGAAATTCACAGGGATGGTAGCCCAGGTTGAGACGCGTCGTGGACACTCGGGCGTGTCGGTCCGACACCGGGGCGCGGTTCTAGGGCGGTTTGGAAATTCAGCCCGGGACTCCCGGGCTGACGAGAATAACCCTCACTCTGCGTCCCCAAAACGGCTATAACTTTCCCGTCTCTTATTCCAGGGGGCTGAAATTTTCAGGGATGGTAGCCCAGGTCGAGACGAACGTCCGTGGACGCCTCGGGCGTGTCGGTCCGACACCGGGGCGCGGTTCTAGGGCGTTTGAAAATTCAGCCCGGGACTCCCGGGCTGACGAAAAAATCCTCACGCTGCGTCCCAAAAAGGCGAGGTCAAACCACTTTCTCCAAGGGACCTATATGGGGAA